GCAGGAAGCCTGATGCGGGACTCGATCCCAGGACCCTGGGATCATGACCTGAGCCGAAGGCAGACGCTTAACCATCTGAGCCACCCAGGCGCCCCATCTTATTTACCGATTAATCTTAAGGAACACTTTATTGCAAAACTATCAACTTTAGGCATTGGTCATAATTTTTAGGCATCATGACACTTTTTGCCACATTCAAGAGCAACTTGAGAATGCTATTTATAGAACAAATACTTTCTTTAATTGGGTAATATAATTGAGTAATAAATTTTCTTTATATTGAGTAATTTAAAAATATCTAAGGCTTATGTAAGTTAAAATATTTGAAAAATCGAGGATCTGACAATACTTAGGTAATATTTCTTAAACCACATTAAAATAAATACTTAAAGGGGCGCCTGGGTGGCTCAGTCGTTAAACGTCTGCCTTCGGCTCGGGTCGTGGTCCCAGTGTCCTGGGATTGAGCCCCGCATCAGGCACCCTGCTCGGCGGGAAGCCTGCTTCTCCCTCTCCCACTCCCCCTGCTTGTGTTCCCTCTCTCGCTGTGTCTCTCTGTCAAATAAACAAAATCTTTAAAAAAAAAAAAAAAGTTAAAATTTTGACTTTTTACCATAGAAAATGATTTTACACTTCATACCTGGGAAACATTTTATCGAATGATTGTTTTAATCTGGGGATCCACCCTACTTAATAGAATTTTGGTCTCACTTAGGTGTTAGAAAACATTCCCACCTGACACATTTAAAAAACTTCGTCTATCCTTTTTAACTACAAACGTTTTTAGGAAAGTGGACTATTTGTACTAACACTTTATTATTAAATACTAGCACCTTCTTCGTTATTTAAGTAGTATCTAAGGTAATCGATAGGGGACCTACATTTTTTTTTTTTAAATGAAAAATCTCCAATGGTTTTCTTATATTTGCACAATTGCATTTGGTACTTAAACTTACAAATCTTTTTATTAGAAGTATTTGGAAACCAGAATTTAAAGAGGAAGTTAGACTGCAAAGGATGGCTTGTGATTTCCACACTAATTTTAGCTGTTAAAAACAAAACAAAACACTGCAGTGTAAAGCAGAAGTGCAAAATTTTTTCTAACTAAATAAATCTCTATAAATGAAACTAATAATTCTCTATTTTAGCTGAAGGCAAAAATGTTTGATTCTCTATTTCTCCAAAATAGCATAAATAGATAGAAGCACACAAAAGCTTCTATCTTTTGTGAGAAAACTTTTAATAGATTTTTTCTTTTTTCCCTTTTTTTGGGTAATAATTGCCATATTTCATATTTGACATATTATAAACTTTTTAAATTGTAGTATAGTTGACATACAATGTTATATTAGTTTCAGGTGTACTGCAGAGTGATTCAACAATTTTATACATTATACAATGCTCACCACGATGTAGTAGTTACTATCTGTCACCGTACAGAGTTATTATAATATTGACTATATGCCCTACGCTGTACCTTTCATCCCTGTGACTTACCTATTTTATAACTGGAAGTCTGTACTGCTTACTCCCCTTCACCTATTTTGCTCATCTCTTCCCACCCCAGTAGTGACCATTAGTTTGTTCTCTGCGTTTATTAGTTTCCATCTGTTTTGTTGTGTTTGTGTTTTTTGGATTCCACATGTAAGTGAAATCATATGGTATATTCTCTCTCTTATTTCACTTAGCATAATACTGTCTAGGTTCATCCATGCTGTTAAGAATGGCAAGATTTCATTCTTCATTATGGCCGAATAATATTCCATTGCGTGCGCACACACCCCACATCTTCTTTATTCATTCATTTATCAATGGACACTTAGGTTGCTTCCGTGTTTTGGTTATTGTAAATAATGCTGCAATAAACACAGGCATGCATGTATCTTTTCAAGCTAGTGTTTTCATTTTCTTTGGGTAAATACCCAGCAGTGGAATTACTGGACTGTGTGGGATTTCTAATTTTTGAGGAACTTCCATACTGTTTTCCATAGCAGCTACACAAATTTAAATTCCCACAAACAGTACACAAGGATTCCCTTTTTCTCCATATCCTCATCAATACTTGGTATTCCTTGTCTTTTTTTTAATTAAGTTTAAAATTTTTATTTGTCTTTTTGATACTAGCCACTCTGACTGGTGTGAGGTGATCTCATTGTAGTTTTGAGATTGACATTTCCCTCATGATGAGTGATACTGAGCATCTTTTCATGTCGCCATCTGCATGTCTTCGCTGGAAAAATGTCTATTCAGGTCCTCTGCCCATTTAAAAATTGGATTATTTGGGGTTTTTTTTGGTGTTGAGTTGTATGAGTTCTTTATATATTTAAAATATTAATCTCTTATCAGATATATCGTTTGTGAATTATCTTCTCCCATTCAGTAGTTGCCTGTTTGTTTTGTTGATGATTTCCTTGCTGTGCAGAAGCTTTTTAGTTTGATAATTGCTTTTGTTTTCCTTGCCTGAGGAGACATATCTAGAAAAATGTCCCTAAGGCCAATGTCCAAGAGATGACTGCCTGTGTTTTAAGAGTTTTATGGTTTCAGGTCTTACATATAGGTCTTTAATCCATTTTGAGCTTATTTTTGTGTATGATATAAATGGTCTAGTTTCATTCTTTTGCCTGTAGCAGTCTAATATTCTCAATTTATTGAAGAGACCTTTTTTTTTTTCTCCATTGTATATTCTTGCCTTTGCTGTAAATTAATTGATGGGCACTCTATTCTGTTTCATTGGTCTATGTGTCTATTTTTGTGCCAGTACCATATCTTGAAATCTGGGATTGTGATACTTCCAGCTTTGTCCTTTCTCAAAGTTGCTTTGGCTATTTGGGGTCTTTTGGGTTCCATGCAAATTTTAGGCTTATTCTAGTTCTGTGAAAAATACCATTGGTATTTTGGTAGGGACTACATTGAATCTCAATGTAGATTGCTTTGGTAGTACAGACATTTAACAGTATCAATTCTTCCAATTCATGAGCATGGTGTATCTTTCCATTTGTTTATGTTGTCTTCAATTTCTTTCATCAATGTCTTATAGTTTTCAGAGTACAGGTATTTTTCCTCCTTGGTTAAATTTATTCACAGGTATTTTAGTTTTCTTTGATACAACTATGAATGGGATTGTTCTCTTAATTTCTCTTCTGCTACACTGTTGTTAGTGTATAGAAATGCAGCAGACTACTGCATATTAATTTTGTATATATAATAAAATTCAACTTCACTGAATTCATTTATTAGTTCTAAT